GTCTTTAACACTGAGCCTGGGGCACTTTCAAACCATACCAAGTTGTGTCATTTCCATTTTCAAGTCAGTATTTATTCTACAGCCTGATCTTGATGTATGTTAAAAGTTTAATTAATGCCTATTGGGTAAATAACAAAATTGGGATGGCTGTTTTTTCTTTAAGCTATGAATATTCCTCCGATTGCTGCAAAAAAAAAAAAAAAAAAAAGGAGAGAGAGAAGTTATTTTGCATATACAAAGCAAGAAATGTATGTTTAACATCAGAATACCAGTGTTCCAGTTCTATCATATATGAGCTGAATTATCTGGAGCTAATTATACTTTCATTCTGAATTTCAACTTCCAACTCAATAAAATGGGTTGAATAATAAACAAGTGAGTAACATTTAAATTAAAATGTTTAATTTTAATTAAGTAAAAGTCCATTATCATCATATGAAAATGATTACATGTATTTTTAAAACTGTGGCATGATATATTATTAGAAGGGTAGGCAGAGTTAAAATGAGAACTGGATTTTTCCTAAAGCATTTAATTAATTTTATTTTAAATACTCTTTTCAGTAAGGTTTACTACTTATTTTTTCTGAACTAGTTTTACTTCAAATTTTATAAATAATCTGCTCAATATTTAGATTATGAAACATTTAGAAAGATATAAATAATATAATTTTTTATCTGCAAAGAACATTTAATTATAATTACATCTCAGTTTATTTCTCTCAGCCATTTGTTTAGATGCATTTTTACTTGTTTGTTTTACATTGTTATGATAATATTACATAGTCTGTACTGTATTCTTTTTTAGATTAATAACTTGATTATATCTATAGTTCACGTTATAATGTTTTTCACAAGTGTTTTAATAACTGACATTAAAAATACAAAAGTTGCTGTTAGATATATTAGTATAGTTTCTAAAAATATAATGCTATAGATTATGCATACTATTCTTTTGCCTAAAACATTTTTTGACCTAAAAACAAATTTATACAATTCTGTTTTTATGTCAAGTAATAAAAATATTTTTCCTCTCATGATACATATTTTCAAATTATTTCTATAATGGCTATTATAAATTTACATTATTAATTATAAAAGAATATTATTTTAATTGTAAACTCTCTGTATACGCGTTTTTATATTTTCCCATATCTTAACTACTTTGAAAAAATAAAACATTTTTTCACTTTTTGCAGTACACTTTGCTTATGTTACCAAGTTAGTTTACTATTGTCCATAAATAGTGTATTTCTCTCCTTTTTGAATTAATTATTTATATATTTTTCATAGATCCATTTTAAGTATTTCAAATAGATTTATGAAAAATTATTTATAACCAAATAACATAATATTTATTCTAAATATTTATCCTACTTTGTTCTTCATACTGATTTTTGATATTTAGAATTATTTTGGATGCTTATTTCATATTATAACTCTTCCAGGTACCTTGTGTCAGAGCCATATTCTTTGGCTGTATATCATGCTCTTCCTTAATATCTAAATTAAACATTAAATGTGATTAGCTGAAAAAATTACTGGGTTTTACAATATGTAACCTACTATTCTTAAAATTGTTCAGAACACTGTTAATTGTTTTTTAAGAAGTAAACTATGTGGTTCCAACAATTCAGATTTTTTAAGGTAACGATATAAGGCAAAATATATTTAAGCTCCCATTCTGATTTGTCCCTGTTGGTCCCAGATGCCTTATATGATTGATAAAAATTCAGATGTCTGATATATTTTAGATGACAATAGAAAGGCAAGGATCTTTCATCATATGTTGGGGATACAAATAAACAATTTCTTCTAAATTTACTATGTATTCCAATTCGATATACAGATCTGGCTTCAGTAATAGAAAACTAGTTGTTGACCTGTTGAAATTGCATTTGACTTTTATTCTTTCAAAAATGGAATTCACAAATGTCAACTATGTATTTTTTGAAATGTCATTATTCACAAATATTTGGTATACTATTTCATAGAGATTCTCTGACTTCCTCTGAGTTCCCTTAGAAATTATTTGCAATCTTTAGATAACATATACTATGCAAACTTCAAACAATATGATTTATTAGATAACATGAAAAAATAATTTATACACACAATAAGCAAGTAGGTACATAAAAATAAGCCTTTGTCCTGAATTTTTTTTACATGAAACAAAGGCTCTAGGAAAAATGTTGCATGAAAGATATTACTTCTAGCTACCAATTAAGAAGGAAAAAAAGACAAAAAATTTATATTTATTAGAGAAAATCTGACCTTGGTTTTGAATACGAAGGTAAATGGCATGAAACAACTCAACAAGAAAAAAAAAAGTGTGTCATTTCATTTATTTTCTTTTGCAGGATGATGTGATGGTCATTAAGATTTTTGAACAGTGATAATGTTTACCCTAGGAGGTATCAGGAGAAGATCTTGTACTGAAATGTCAATCCCAAAGCTCCAATTAATGCTTTTGCATACCTAGAGAACAGTCAACTGCTAACATCAAGAAAAACCACCAAGAAGCTGCAAACATTCTCCTCCATTTCTTAAGGAAAACAAAACAACAAAAAGTAATCCTTTTGAATACAATTACCATCAAATTAAACTTTCATTGTCATATTTTAATATAGAGCTATGCTTAATATTTTGTCTTATATATGATTTGGCACCTTAGTAAGTATTAAGTAATCTGTAACACATGTTGAGCACTTAAACTCCAGAGTAGTTCTCCAAGTGGCCTTTGTCTCACCCAGTTTTCTCATCTTTCTCATTTAAAGTTCTCAGAATATTTGTAGAAAGTGTAGGGAATGTAGCATCTTGAGATAAGGGGGAACTAGCCAGAACCGCCTGTGCTCTGTTCCTAGCCACCCTTAGAAGCATAATGTCCTTCATCACATTGCCCTGGGGTATAAAACCTAGGATGGTCTGCTTTTCATCGTCCCTCAATTGGAGTGTAGTGGGACACACAGAAATGAGATTCCATTCACCCTGAGCAGCTTTTCTGGGCTTTGGAGGACTGGCTTATAATGAATCCCTTGCTGCCTATCTGCAGGTAATAAATGTATTTCATGTAACTTGTTGAGTGCTTGTCTATTCTCTCACCCAGTGAAGTTAATAACCAGTGCACAGAGAACCTGGTACACATTAGCATGTACCCAATTTAAATCTCATAGTAATACTTAATGGCAAGTTTACTCTCCCTTATGAAAAAAATTGAGATGTGCCCAGAGCAGTTTCGATGGATCCTAAAGTTTAATATTTCAACAGATATTATTACAACTTCTTTATAGATGTACTCTACCTTACAACACTCAACTTGTAATTTTAACTTCATTATGATGCAAAAATTGCATGCATTGAATACAAATTGTAGTTTGAATTTCAAAATTTGATCTTTTCTTAGGCAGTAGAATATTTTTTGGAGATGCTGGACCACATGCCACAGTTTCCAGTTGCTATGTAATCATGAGGATGAACAGCTGATGCTCTATAGCATTCTGTGTTGGTAAACTATGTTGTTCTTTAGGTTGGGTGTGCTAGATCCAGTTTTGACTTATGGTATTTCAAATTTATGATAGATTTATCAGGAAGTAGCCCCACCATAAGTCTGGGAACATCCATAGTTATTTGCATGATTGCTGTTAGTATATACCTGTTATTTGAACCATATAATTACATATTAAAATTGACACATTATAAGAGGTAAACCTAATTACTAAGTTACATTTATGCAGTGAAGAAATTGATAAAATATTTTTTGAAATTTCAACAAATATACTAAAAGATCAAAGATAAAAAGAGGCTATTAATATTGACTACTTTTACACAGTACAAAATAGCAGTTTACTGTTATGGCATTGTTGAACTATTTTTTACTGGGACAAATCTGCAAGTATTATCTTGTATGGATACTGGGGACAATGAACATGATTGTTTGAATAAAAAGGTCACAAATTATATATTTATACATTCAGACTTAAAATTGTTCATTGGAATGTGTGCTATTTTAATAACAAGCATAATGCTGTTGGGATTGCTAATATTTTATAATTCCAAAAAAATCTTGAGGAAACATGTTTGCAAGGACAGTCTATCATCTTCACATACAGATACCCAATCAGAAATTAGTATGGGTATTAGATGAATGGGAAGCAGAGAGTGGTTTGAGAATCCAATTCATTTGATGGTTTTAATATCATCATCAGTGTTTAGAAGTCTTCTTTCTTAGATTATATTTTATTTCATTTAGTCTTGTGCTTAATTTATACTTATACCCATCCCACCTTCATTAGTGTCACTTTCATATGTCATTAGGGAACTATCTGCATCTTTTAAAAAGTACACAGTATTGTTGGATGCATGTACATGTTTCAAATATATATTTAAATAAAAATAAATATTTAAAATTTCTAAGAATAATTCAGCTGCTAATACGTACCAGGCGCTTTTTGAAATTTATCTGTTATCTCATTTAGCCATTGCAAAAATATTATGGTGCAGATCCTCTTTCTTTTTATACTTGAAGATTTGGAATCTGATGAAAGGAGTGGTAAATTGTATGATTTGGCTAATATTAATAGGTAGCAGGAGGTCACACCCAGAAAATACGACTCCAGAGTCTGAAGGCCTTAAGCTGTATATTGCTGCTTATGCTATGTTGTGTTGTATTATTTTTACATCTAATTCTACTTCTAATTTTTACATCTAATTTTTTCACTTTATATTGTATTTTTAAGATCCATCCACTTTAGCTTATAAATGCTATTCACTGTTTTGGATTGCTTCTGCAGCATATCATTCCATAGACTATATTCACAATATTTTATTTAACTTCTAGTTAAAGACACCTTGTAAAGGACAGTCCTCCTAGTAGCCTCTAAAGACCAAGTTCTCCTTCCTTTCTTGCTTGTAGCTGTAGAATGTACTGAAAATGTACAATTATGAGGTAAGTAAGGATTGGCTGGAATAGCCCACTCTCTGTTCCTGCCCCTCCTAGGACATAATATCTTTCAATATTCTAGACCAAAGTGTCATGTTGCTCTCAGGTGATAAACACAATGCAGTTTGCTTTCCAGAGTCCCCTTGACTATGTTAATGGGGACATGTACACAAGACTCCATTCATTCTGGACAGCTTTTCTGATCCTTGAGTGATTGGTTCAACCTGAACCTTAGGATTCTGTTGGTCCTTACTACCTATCTGTACTATCTGTAAGTAATGAAACTTGAAGAGTTTTTACTTCGTTGTAGTGTGTGTGTGTGTGTGTGTGTGTGTTTTCTATCTCACCAAACTTGGCTGAGATAATAACCCAGCTCAGATGTGCTGGGCTGACATGGTAACCAGTGCACAGTGAAACTTGTTCACACCTAGATGGTTTCTGATTTTTTCTTTCAACTCTACAGTGAACATTCTGTAAGATTCTCTTTTGAGTTCACGAGTATGTTTGGATAGGAAGAAGACTCACTGGGTCATGTAGATATACACATTTAATTTTACTATGCCTTATTAAAATTATCTCTTTTCATTTCCATGAAGGGGAACCCATACAAGTTAATATTTTGTCATGTGAAACTCAACATTTGATGTTTATCTAATAACGTTTGACAACATGACTGAGGAAATATCACTCTATTTTTTATTTGACCTTTTCTAATTCCTTGTGAGGTTACTTATATCCTCTTCTCTATATAGTTTTATACATTGAGATTCTTTTTTCTACAAACTGGCTATTCATATTATTGGTCTATTTTTCTAATAGGTTTAATTTTTTTTCTTATTGGCTTGACTTAGTTTCTTGGTAATTCTAAATATCAATGTCATTTCTTTTTAAAACTACTTAAACTCATTTTTATATATTTATTTTTAAATTGACAGTTTTTCTGTGACTTAGTCTAGTCACGTTCACAAGCAAATTGCTAGCAGATGTCTTTACTGAAAGCAAGAGATCTGATGAAATTTTAATAAACACAGATTAGCAACACTGGAACAAAATGAGTAACAACAGCAAACTCAATATACTGTTAGTAGAATGACAGATTACATCAGAAAGTGCTCTCTACATAGCAATGCAAAGAAGTGGGCATTGTTTTCCTCATTTTAATGATGGCCAAACAGAAGATTTGACAATAAAATATCAAATATTACTTAGGTGTGGCTGGGAGTGTAGCTCAGTGGTAGTTCTGTCCACACACACAGATTTAACCCTAAATCAGAAAAAAAAAAAAAAAAAACTTCTTTAGGCAAATATGATGCAGTGGGCCCCATATCATCTGCATTTAATTTTTTTATCAAAAGAACAAATGATAGATTTAGTTCTCTGCCAACACTTTTTCAGAAAAATACTTTATTGAAATCATACGCTTGTCAGTGACTAGGGCTTTGTAAGTGGAAAAGAAAAAAAAAACTATGAAAGCATGGGTAAAGAAGTAATCAAAACTTCTTTGCCAGATGTCATGATTCCACTTGATAAATATAAATGCTCAAGTATTTCTTGACCCACATATAAAAAGAAAGATGTGTTGGCAAAATATAATTGAACACACACACTCTTTTGCCAACCCAGAAAACCTCTCCATAAACATAGCAGAGAAAGAAATCAGTTTTATTACTGAATAAGCATTAAACCAGAAAGTGATGCACATCACAAGCAAGCTGCTCTGTGCAAAATGGAATCACACAATTTTATACACTGAAGCAGGGCAACACATTAATGTGAGAGTTCTTAACATAGATGATAACTATCAAGTAAGAGGACTTGATAGTATCTTTGGTAGAAAGTTCACCTTAAATTCACCTGGTAATTGGAGTGATCATCTGTAATAGTTAATTGACCTTATCCAAAGGAAAAGTAAATTTTCATGTCATTATAAAAGGGCAGTTTTATAACTTAGAAGCAGTTGAAGTTAAGTGCCCACTTTCCCACAGAGGCTGGGTATTTTCACTCTAATAAGATAGTTCCCAGGTGCTTAAGAAAATCATCCTAGGTCATGAAGCTAAAAAAGGACATACTTAGCTTTAAAAAAATATTTACATATATTACAAAGAAATGGAAAAAGAATTACAATTGTTTTAAGTAAAATGCTCTAAGAAAATTAGTGGGGAAAATTTCATTCCTTTATTTTTACTTAATATCAATCAACAAGATTATTTTTATTTGACACAAAATAAATACAATATAAATATATTATTATGTCTCAAGTACATATGAGATATCATGTGATGCTTCAATATATGTGTACTTTGTGGAATGATCAAATTTTCTAATTATCATATATAACATTTCACCTACATATTATTTCTTTGTGTTGAGTTCTGTAAGATTCACTCTTCTAGAATATGGAGATACATAATATATTAGGTAGAATCACCTGTATAGTAGATCATCAGATCTTATCTTTCTTTTCTAGTCTAAAGTTTATACCCTTTGACCAACATCTTCTTGTGGACCAACATCTGCTCTCCTCCCATCAGCCTCTGGCAAGCATTCTATTCTCCATCTCTGTGAATTTGACTTTTAAAAATTCTACACATAAGTAAGGTCATGCAGTTATTGTCTTTCTGTGCATGATAACTTAGTTGAATTAACATTTCCTTTCATTTAAGATCATGATCTCATCCACATTGTTGCAAATGACAGCATTTCATCCTTTTTTTATGTGTAAATAGTATCCCATCCTATATATGCATCACATTTATCAATTGATGGATATTTGGATTGTTGCCTTTTATTGGCTAATGTGAATAGTGCTGCAATGAGCATGGAAACACAGAAGTCTTTTCAGCATATTGATTTTATTTCTATCAGAACTGGTGAATCATACATAAACTGGACATGATGCTGCATGACTGTAATCCTAGTGGCTCAGGAGGCTGGGGCAGGAGGATCTCGAGTTCAAAGCCAGGCTCAGCAAAAGCAAGGCACTAAGCAACTCAGTGAGACCCTGACTCTAAATAAAATACAAAATAAGGCTGGGGATGTGACTCAGTGGTCCACTGCCACTAAGTTCAATCCCTGACACGCCCCCGCAAAAAAGAACTGGTAGACCATAGGATGGTTGCATTTTTTTCATATTTTGAGGACACTCCATACAGTTTTCCATAATGGCCACACCAATTTAAATTCTTCGAACAGTGTGTCAGGGTTCTCCTTTCTCCATATCCTCACAAATGCTTATTATTTATAGTCTTTTTGATAAAATAGCCACTCTATAGAAGTGAGGTGGTATCTCATTTTGGTATTTTTTTTTTTTTTTAAAGAGAGAATGAGAGAGAGAGAGAGAGAATTTTTTTAATGTTTATTTTTTAGTTTTTCGGGGGACACAACATCTTTGTTTTGTATGTGGTGCTGAGGATCAAACCTGGGCCGCACACATGCCAGGCAAGCACTCTACCACTTGAGCCACATCCCCAGCCATCTCATTTTGGTCTTGATTTGCACTCCTCTGATGATTAGTGATGTTAAGTATTTTTTCACAAATCTGTCGGACATTTGTATATCTTCTTTTAAGAAATGTGTATTAGGTCTTTTGCCCAGATTTTAATATGATTATTTATTTTCTTTTTATTGATCAGAGTTTCTTATATATTTTGGATGTGATCTCTTTAGCTGATATAAAGTTTGCAAATATTTTCTCCTAATGGTTGTGTTTTGTCTCTGCTGATTGTTTCCTTTGCTACGCACAAGCTTTTTAGCTTGATGCAATTCCCTTGGTATATATTTGCTTTTGGAAATCATACGTTGGGAATTACTATTCAGACTGATGTCATGGAGCTTTTCCCTCTTTTCTTCTATTAGTATAAAACTAATAGGTCTCATATTTAAGTATTTAATAAAGTCGGACTTGATTCTTCTATCAATTATCCAGAGTTGCAAGGTGTTATAGTTTGGATCTGAAATGAACCTTAAAGGCTCATGTGTTAAAGTTTTTGTCCCTCCCTGGTGGCACCATTAGTAGGTAGGGCATAGTTGGTGTAGGTTGGTCACCAACAGCCTGAGTTTGAAGGTGTATTTCATCCATAGCTGCTTCTCCCTGCCTCTCTCAGCTCTCTGATTGCTGGCTGATGTGAGCTAAGCAGTCTAATCTGCCGTATGCTCCCTACTATGATGTTATTCCTCACCCAGGCCCATAGAGGTCAAGTGACTGTGGACTGAAACCTCTGAAAATATGAAGCAAAACAAATCATATCTTTTAAGGTATTTAACACAGATATTTTGTCAAGGTGACAAAAAGATTCATAACACACACCAATTCATGTATGGACTCTGTTCTATTCTAAGAGCTGATACCTGTTTTGTGTTATCACCATGCTGCTTTAATCATTATATCTTTGTAATGTATTTTGAAATCAGGTAACATAGTGTCTCCAGGTTTGTTCTTTTTGATCAAGTATCAAGTTTTTATTGGCTATTTGGTTTCTTTTGTGGTCTCATACAAATTTCAGGTGTTTGTTTTGTTTTGTTTTTTAATCTGTGAAGGATTGTTGTTGATCAATCTAGGATTCTTTTGTTCACTTTGAGTTGGAAATCACTAAGAGGCCAACAGTAACAAATGAATGAGGTTTCAGAGGGCTTATGCTCCAGAGCAAGAGAAACAGACATGGGCCAAGGCTCCTGGACTGGCCTTTTAAAGACATGCTTTTAGAATCTCTATGGCTTGAGTGTTGTCTTTGCAGGTTCAGTGGTGGTTATTGAACACAATTCAGGATTTCTGCACATTTTTCATCTGATCTTTGTCCTGATAATGGGGTCCATTCTTGGCGTGATGATCTGAACACTAAGCTTGCAAAGAGATGGAAGAAGGCCCACTACCATCACCTCAAGAAGGTCATGTAACAGTTATGGCTGGGCATTCTGCACATGCCAAGCCTGCAGCAAAGCTTGTTTATAATCTCTAAAGGGAGCAGGTGACATAAAGAGAACTGAACCAGCATCTTGTTAAATACTGAACACATTGTTGAGAAGTAGGATCTTAGTTTTTCTATCACTGAATGGTGTGGATATTTTGGCAGGGATTGTAACAGATACAGTATGGATAATTTCTTATTTTTACTTTTGCACTTACAGGTGCTAATCTATTTAGTAGTTAGTGCTCAAAGATATTCTACAGTGTTCTGAGTGTCTTTTATACATTTCTAATTTTAGATTAATAATAAACATTAGGGTAAAACATGGCATAGGAATTGATAAAATATTTCTAATATATTGAGACAATTATTTCTGACCACAATATATAAACACAATATTATTATTATGCCCTCTTATAGATAAGGACATTGAGACACAAGCTGAAATAATATTTCCATGTAGCCTGTCTTAGAAGCCTGGAAAATTAGCGTCTATGTATTCTAGAGTCTTTTATTTAAAATTATCTCTTTCTGTCTTTCCCACTACCCAGTATTTTCTACCTCTACTAAAGAAAATTTCGATAACATTTTAAGTTTTGAAAAGTGCTAATAATTTGTTTCCTTCTAGACACATACAAACTTAGCTTTCTGAAGAAATCGAGGACAATGGTAAGCCAATTACTGTTAACTGAAAACTCAGTTCTTGTTCCCAGCCCAATCCAAAAAGGAGGACAGGGTTTTGAGAAAAAAGGTAAAAGAAGTTTTATTGCTTTGTTAGCAAAGGAGAAACATAGGGATTCCTGTTCCAGAGACTGTGATTCTGCCCATCTGGGAAAACAGGGCTTTTAAAGAAGCTATACAAAGGCTGCATTCCAGGTGTTCCCTGGCAGGGGGTCCCAGGTCTGCCCCCTTGATGTGTTGAAATTCACTTGTTAATTTGGGCAATAGTCACTTCCTACTTCTTCTGGTGACATCTCTTTCTTGTGGAGAATGGATAACTCAAAGGTAATCTTGTTCCCAGTCCCCAGGTTAGGGAGGGGGAGAAGAAGAAGAGGAAAAGAAAAACATGTCCCTTTTAACATATGCAGCAAGTGCTATGTTCAAAAAGTGGACCACTGTTGCACTGTTTTGCGATTTTATAATTTGTGTCTCCTTAATCCCTTCTCAATAAAGCAAAAAATTTAAAAATACGAAAGAGGGCACAACATCATTTTGCTTCTGCTCATATAAAGGACATGGTACTGCCTCACAAAATCTTAAATGTTTTTTATATTTCTGTCAAAATTAAAATCTCGTTTTAAACAATCATAACATAAGCATATAATTGCCAAAGCAAAAAAAAAAAAAAAATCTTGACTGCTAAATGTGTTTTTCCTTCTTAAATCTCCAAGGAGTGTAAATTAAGTGTAGGTATTAGGCTAAACACTGGGAAGAGTTAAAGTGGAGAAGGTCCTGGCCCTCAGAAATTCACACACTAAAAGAAATGTAGGTCTATTAACATTCCAAACATTGTTATACAGTTAGAAAGCCTTTTCTGTATTCATTATCTTATCTGATCTTCACCACAACCAGAGAAAGCGGTTTTACTTTAATTCTCACTTTGAATGCAAGGGAAAGGAGCCTGAGAAAGGTTAATTAATTTGTCCAGATTTATACTTTTAGTGAAAGAACTTCCTTTTAAATCTTATGTTCATTCCACTGCACAACAGATACTTAATTCACTAATACTACCATTTAAAATTAAGCACCAAGATTTCTATTTTTCTGTACCTCAGTATCAAAAGGGAATTTGTTCTAGTACTACCCTTTTTCAGATACCATGATCTGTACGTGTTTAAGCTGACTCTATGTCAATCAACTAGCCAATATTTTACTGAAAAGTATTTTGACTCATTTTCTAAATTATTTTGGAAAAATTTGTGCTACACAATGCTAAGTTCATCCAGATTCTGATAAAATGCACTCTGGTTTTCATTTGAATGAGATCACTAGCTACCCCTCAGATTTAAGGTTTATAGCTAGCACTGGGAATGCATTGTCCAAATGCTCCAGCACTGTCTTTCTCTGTGCTCCCTGTTCAGCTTCTGTGTGCATTTGTTTCCACTGGCTTGCATCCAAGACTGAATGGTCCTCAAGAGATAGTCCTTAGACCCCTGGGGATACTCTACCTTCTTTCATGTGGGTCTGGAGTTTACATGTCTCTTTGGCCAATAATTTAGAAGTGTAGGAATAATGATTTGTCTGTAGGGAAAGGTTGGGGACAACTTTTTCTTCAGTCTGCTGAAAATATCACCTTTCCTTGGTTTCCTTTCTTTCCCTGTCCTCCTTTCTCGCTTCTCCTAAAAATACTGTCTCAATCACTTATGCAGGTATCCTTCTCTTAGAATTCTCCTCTTGGGCAACTGCTCTGAGACAGAGGTGGGGCAGGAGAACTGGTCCTAAACACTGAGGACTCACATTCTTCTGCCATAAATTTATGTTTAGAATGAATAGTCAATAAGATTTCCCTAAGAATTCTACAGGAAAGAACATTGCCCTTTCTTTAGGGAACTGAAGATGACAATAAAAAAAATCTTGATTGCCCACAGCTAGTGTTCCTTGTCTGTTGGAGTGCAGAGACAAAGCCTGAAGAAGTCAAGTTGAGCCAAATGGTGGGGAGAAAACAGATATCATCCCTGCCTGTATATCAGTCTTGCCTGAAGGCAACCCAACCTCTGACCTTCTCAACTACAAAAGCAAAAACAAACAAAAAATTCTACTTATGCCAGGTTGGCTCAAATTCAAGTAAAGAACAATTGCCAATTAATAGAAAAAATTAAGATTCATTTTTCATTGAAGATGAAATAAAAGGCACCAAGTCTTCTTTTTCTCAGCAATGAAGAACATTGTTAAACCATTAAATATTCTCAAATTTAAACCTAGGGGACACCTAACTGCTTTCTGTAGCTATTGGAATAAATGTTTTCCAACAAAGGAAAAAAGATTCTGTGAAATATTATTTGTGGGCTGATAAAAAAATCCAATCTTGGCAGCAAATCTACATGGTAAATTTAATACAATTGTGTAGTACAAATGATTTTAGTTATTTATCAATAAATTAAATAAATACACATCACTTTAAGAATTACAGTATTAATTTATAAATGTTGAGAAAGTAGTTGGTAACATGAGTAATTCAAAAGATAGTATCTCCTCACTGAAAGAGATGCTGTTATTAATTAGAAGAACCACATTGAAATAGAGAGGTTTCTGATGTTATATGGGTTCTACAATTGTATCCAAGTCCTGACAAATTTTAGTAACCTAGTCTTTGGGGTGAAACAGATTTTCTAGGACTGAATTGCCTTATCAGTACATTAAGTATTAAGATGGCATTTATACCACTAGCTTGTCTGAGATACATGTGCATCAATAAATGTCCAAACTCTTAGCCACTTAGTAAAATTTTAACATTGGCAATTATCATTGTTGCTAAAGCTGAAACTATTTATTCACACTTGATACATAGATTCCTTTTATAGGAATTATTTTTCACCAAAATTATCTCTTATATTTAGTATGTTAGAAGCTCACATAACAAAAAGTAAACTATTTCTCTTTATCATATTTCTGGAGAAAGAAGTTCTTAATGCAATACACAGAGTCAAGAAAAATGTGTGATAGGCTTTTAGTGAATGCTAAGAAATGTTCACTATATTAATTTATGCCACTTACTGGGAAGTTGTCCTTATGTGATATCAAAAAGTGTAGAGATCTAGTTTTATCTAAGCAACTAGTTGATTTATTTGTATGACATAATTAAATAAAACATTAACTTTTAATGAATATTTTAATTCATTTTTTTCTAGGAGTCAATATGCATAATTGTTATTAATAATAAAAATATAACAGTGGGCAAATATTATAATCAATAATCCTAGCATTCAAAGTTTTGAAAATTATAAAAGTCTTGAACATGCTAGCACATCTGATTCAGAATATCTATATGGATATAAGTTGGTATTAATATTGCCAAATCAAAAACTAATACTCTGGTGCTTATTAAAATGAGCTAAATTAAATGAAGTTGTTGAGTTGAGTTACCTTGTCTCCCCCTTGGGTCCAAATATCATTTTTCTCAGAACAGATTCTGCCATTTCGAATCACTCATGTGATCTGTGATAAAAAAACAAATGAAGCAAAGTTTGGAGATTAAGCTTTTGAAAAGCATGCACAGAGAAACTTTGCATGATCTAAATCCAAACCCACCTAATAATATTTTTATTCTAAGAAGTGTGAAAAGGGAACAGCCCTTCACCATATTCTTTTGAGGCAACAATTAAGCTCATGTCAATCAAGCATAATTCTGTCAGTTATTTCAGCTAAGAAAGTATAAAACATGGTAATAAAGGGTTGGTTTTTTAATGACATATAACTGTGAAACAGCAAAAATGAAACACTAAGGCAGTAGTTATCAAAATGTGTTCCATAGATGCCATGGAATCACTAATATGGTTTCATGGGCCCCATGAGTTTAAATCTATATTTATATGTTATTATTATTAATAATAATGTATGAATTGCCTTTATTACTCTCACTCTCATGTTTGTATGAGTGGACTTTTCTGGAGAATATGAGAAAGGTGATGACAGCATTGCTCTGATGATTAATGGAATATATGTCTTTGTTATTTTATCTGCAGTTTTATAGATAACAGTTTGTGTATGTATGTATATATACTTAATAACTCAGATTGTCCTTTTACTGTGTTGCACCAGGTTATCTTTGAGTTATACTTGTCATAATGTCTGTGACCTCATTATTGCCCAATAAGTAGCTAAGTCCTTTAATTTCCTAAGAATAGACAGGCTATGAAGTAAATATATTATATTATCTTTGTAATTTTGTGTTTTTTCAAGGATACAATATTTATTTTTTATAAAAATATTTGTTTTTTATAAATTTTAAACTTTTAGCTATATCTGTTAAATTTATGAAATTTTATGCAAAATAAGACAATATTTTAAAGTGCTTCCATAATTAATAGGGGATCATTGTTAAGAAGGGAGTTTGGGAGACCACTTTATTCACACAAGGGTGTGTCTCGAGGCGCTTAACCAAATGAAACTGACATATCGGAAATTCCTCTGATTTCTAATAATAAATATACTAGAAAATTGAAGCAAATTTAAATGTGACACTGTCTTTTCCTCATATATATACATATATATAATTTGCCTTATTTTACATTATAAACAATTTTTTCTAATGAATTATGATGTTTTTAGGAGAAAAAGAATTTCTTCGATAAACATATTGAAGATAAAAGAACACACCAGAAAACAAAAATACCAATGAATTATTGCAAGCTTGACATAGTGGTGTGTGCCTGTAATCCCACTTACTTGGGAGAATGAATAAGGCAGATCACATAGTTTGAGAAAAACCTGGGTAATTTAATGAGATGTTGTCTCAAAATTAAAAATAAAAATGGCTAGAAATACAACTAGTGGTAGAGTGCTACTGGGTATATTTCCTAATACCACCAAAATAAATTAAAACATTACATTATATATCAATAATGTATATTTCAATTTTAAGGTATTGATTGTTAATTTGTCGACAAAAGCAATCCCTTACTATTTCCTGTCTAGAAACTAATTCAAAATGTGGTGACAGACATTAAAAG